TAGCGTATCAGTTGTTGGTCTCCATTCTTTTGCAGGATGCTATGTCTTTGGCTGATGCCGATGCTGCTCAGACTGGAGACATGATTGGTCAGGCTGGATACGCCTGAAGATTGGGGCTTGCAGCTTTTCACACACTGGGCAGGATGTTCTATGTCATGTGTCATGTGATGGGGTGTGTACGCTTTGCCCTGTGGTTGGCACTGTGTGCATTTGGTAGGAGGGTGTTCCTGAAGTCCAAGAACCGACCCAGGACTGCTTCATGGGATATTTTTTAGTGTGTGGGGCAGTCGTCAAATCCAAAGTGGAAGTTACGCTGAGAAGTGTTCTACAAGAAAAAATGACGCAAACGTGGGTCTGTGGCATTTTCTGGTTTGTAGAGGTGCTCTCGCAATCGGCTTGCCACCGAGTCATTCTGCCTCACTGCAAAGCCATGAGTCGCATGATGCCAATGTGGAGCCTTGCCTGTATCATTTTCACTTCACGGGTGGCATGTGTGAAAGGCAGCTCGCAAACAGAACCAGTATTGTTTTCGTTTGAGCTGGTTCTGAGCATGGCCGTGATCCTCCTGAGCATGATTGGATGGTTTTTGGCGCAGGGCATTTTTCGCTTAGTCATGTGGCATGACATGGGACATTCTCGCTCTGGACAAGCAATGGAATCGACCGCTGAAGATGGCAGTGCTCAGATTAAATCGAGCGACTCAACAACCACATTGTTAGAGCGCAAGATCTCAGAACTTCTTTCTGAGAATGAAGCTCTTCAGAATAGAATCAAAAGGATTAAAGAGCTCTACGCAAGGCCCATTCCACATCAGGTGTGGGTCACAAAGAGTGGCCGAGTTTATCACACCTCATTGGATTGTCCTGCCGTGAAACATTCAGATAGCTCTGGGCTGCAAGGCTTCATGTCTTGCAGCTTTTGTGTGAATCGTGCTTACGATGCACTGCACCAAGTGTGACATGAGTTGAGAAGACATCCCTCAAATCTGTGGGCAAGCTGCAGAGTTGTCAAAAAGAGCGTCCACCAGTCATGTAAGACTTGGGAACTTCTTTATATACACCTGGAGATTGGGGCTTGCAGCTTTTCACACACTGAGCAGGATGTTCTATGTCATGTGTCGTGTGATGGGGTGTGTACGCTTTGCCCTGCACACCGGACTTTAATGCATGGTTCCCGTAGGAGAGCGGCCCTGCAGTGATGAAAGCCAGTCAGGAGTTTTCTGCGGGCGTGCTTCCTTGTTGCATGGCACTCTTGTATGCATAGAGTCCTTAAGCAATCCTTTCAACGAGATCACTGTCACTGCAAACATTGTTCAACTCTTTATGCATGTGAAAGGTTTGATGTACTATACATATATACTTACATAAACTGTACCATTAGCAATGGAAATGAGCAAGGGGTCCTGTGTCATGTGGTGCAGGAGGGCCCCTCCAAGACGTCTTTCTTCACCTTCGTGCCAGCAAAGCCGACCAACGAGGAAGAACATGTTTCGAAGTTTTGCTTTGCTTGATGCATTCAAACCCATTGGCCTGAATCACAGGACAATGCACTGTTATATATATATATATATATAGTGATATACTGATATATCTATATAGTGTAACACGTTCATCCAAAGTATGTGTGTGGTGACTTACATTTGTGTGCTTCTGCGCAGGCCATGATCGATGTGTCAGATGGTTTGGCTTTCACAGATGCTGGCCAAGAATATGCTCTGAAGTGGCCAAAAAGCAAGAAAAAAGTTGTGCCAGACCCGGCCAAAGCTCAGACTCTTGAAGAGGCATTCCAGTGGCCGGTCAAAGCCAAAACAAACCTTCAGAAGCTGATTCAGGAGCTTCCAGGTCACTTGCGGCCCGTGCTGCTTTCAGGCAGAGAGTTGTCAGTTGCCTCATCTTTCTCAGGGATTTGCAGCCAATCACGTGGCGCACTGGTTTTGCAGGCGCACAACTATGGACGCAATTTTAAGCACATTTCATTTTGCGAGAAAAGAAAAGAGTGTCAAATAAGGCTGATTCGGGATTTTCCTTGCGCCTGCATTTTTGTTGACCAAATGAATTTGGTCAGCATTGATGTGCAGAGCCAACTGCTGAAAGCCAAAGGCTTTGAGGAGACAATCGAGGTTTTGAAGCATGCAAGCTTCAATAGCCAGGCACCATGCTGCCGCCACAACAGTTTGTGCAGCTTACCAGTACAACCAGATCTATGCTTATTTGGAGCACCCTGCGTTGACGACTCATCTATGGGGAAGATGGGGTGTGATGATGGTAGCAGTCGCAGAGTCACTCAGATAGCATCTATAACTCCTAAGTCACCAGACCCCGCCAAAAACCTTGATAACAAAATCCTTGACCCCAACCCCGGGATTTATAGAAGTGTTTTTCCTGAAAACCAAGTACGCCCAGGGTCAGTCGGAACCATCCTGAGGCGACCTTGGTTCACTTGATGTCCATGAGGAGGACCAGGCCCAAGATAGCAATCAGTGAAAATGTTACCACCGGTAACATCAACCAGCGCATCGTTGAAGTTCTACAACATGACATGGATGCAAGAGAGTCTTGCAAGCATTTACTTGTGAGGTTTGCTGTCCTATGTCATGGGATGCCATGGGGGTCAGACCAAGCTTTGGATGTTGGAAACGTGAACGTGAAGCTATATAAGATATATATATATATATGCATGTTTCCCATCTCAGGTTATTTTCACAGAGCCCGCCGACGTTGGCTTTTCCTGCATTGCCCGCAAGCGTGCTTTCCAGATCTTTGTAGATAGAACCAAGGGCCGCTTTGTGGCAAACCCAGCAGAAATTTATCAAGCTCTCTGTGATGGTTTGGGCAGCAGGCATTTGACCATTGGCCACTTGATGGACTTTGCATCCAGCGAGGATCTCAAGCTGGAATTGGGGCTGCAGGGAAAGTCTATGGACTCATACCCAGGGAACCTTTTGTCTTCTTTTGAGACCAAGAACAAGGATGAGTATGAGAGAATCCTTTCAAACAAATATTCGGATGGCATCCCTGCAGACCAAGTGTATTGCCTTGGGCAGAATCCTCTAAAAGTTCCCAAGTTGAGCAACGGTGGAGTGATGCCAGCATTTACGAAAACGGACAAATTGCTGTGGCACCATGGTCTGAAGCGGCATGTGCTGGCAATTGAAAAATTTGCAGCGCATGGCATCGGTGTGACGGCTGATCTTGCAAAGCTACTGGGCACTCCAGCCACTTGACCCTAAGTCCTAAGTCACTACCTACTTTGCTGTCTACATGGGCATGCATGTGCATATACATATATATATATACACGTGTATGTCATCAGGGCTCCATAGCTTCTTAGTCCAGCGAATGGCTGCGGCTAAGGTCTTCAATGTGACCCAGATGAAAAACCCTCACCCAGTTGCTGGCAATGGGCAGCATGCAGCTGTTGCTGCTTTGGTCCTGGCTTCTGCCTTGCTGTCGATCGAACTGTTTGAAGAGCTCCCTGAACCAACCAAGCCTTTGGCATCACCTTCAAGCAATGATGATCGCAAGCAGGCTGGGACATGTTTTGCATATAGTCCCAAAGTCCCAAGTCCCAAGTCAGCGACCTCTCATATATATATAGTATATCTATTCATATATGCATGTGACTGTGTGGGTTATATATATATATAAATGAAACAATTGAACAACATCTGTGTATATATATATATATGCCGGTGCGGAAAGCACCCAGCTGTACAGGTCCAAGCTGATCATCCTGGACTCAAGGTACAGGATGACCGGGTCACCTTTCAGGTGGAGGGCTTTCAACGACAAATCCGTGTACCCCAAGAGGCAAGCACCTTGCGTCAAGCTGCTGAACGGTTGGCCCGCTTCGTGGAAGCAAAGGATGCAGAACAGAAGAACCTGTCATTGCTAAAGAGGACTGCAGCTGAAAGTCATATGACATTGTTTGGCCAAAAAAAATACTATATATATATAAGGGTAGTGAACTGCTGGTTGATTGGCAAATCCTCAAGCCCGATTCAAGGACAGATCTGGTGGCTTTGTGCAAAAGCCGTGGCTTGAAAGTCACTGGTGCCATGAATCTGTTGAGGTTCAGAATACTTGCGCATCACCTTGAATCTCTGGAGCTCAATGGCAGTTCATGTCAGTTTAAAAACATATATATATATATATAGTGCATGCCAGATTCTTGGGCAAACATGTGGTTCCAGACTTGGCACTTGCTCTTTCCAATTGCTGGATGTGGAGGAGATGCAGAAGCTTCCCTACCAAGCACCTTCCAAAGAGCTTGGCCATGAAAATGCTGACAACGAATCCAAGAAGATGGAAGCAGCAGCAGAGGAGAAAAAAGTAAGAAGTAGTAAAGTCCTAAGTCATACAGCCTCATACAAACAATTGCACATGAGAAAA